AAAAGTTGTTGAGCCTGTTGGCTGGGTGGGGGAGGTTAGCTTGGAAATATCACTGCAGAGTTTGATGGAGTTTTGTTGAGGAATTAGTGCCGAGGGTCACAGAGGTAAGGCGCGCAATAATGATTGAGATTGCGAACTAACTCGTGGAACCTGGGTCATGGCAGAAGCTGTTCCCATGAGCAGAATGACTTAGGACAAGATGGGAATGAGAACATAGAACAATACAGCACAGGAACAGGTCCTTTGGCCGACGACGTTGAGCCGAACGCGATGCCAAATTAAACTAATTCCCTCTGCCTGCCCATGGTCCATATCCGTCCATTCTTTACACCGAGAGTGGTGGGCGTGTGGAATGTGCTGCCAGCAGTGGTAGTGGAGTCAGATACTTTAGAGACTTTTAAACGACTCTTGGATGGGCACATGGAGAATAGTAAAATGTAAGGTACGCAGGGTAGATTGAGCTTAGTAGGATAATAGGTCGGCACTACATCGTGGGCCAAAGGGCCTGTACTGTGCTGTACTGTTCTATGTTCTATGTTCCATTCCTTACATATTCACATGCTTATCTAAAAAACCCCTTAAACGCCCCTATCGTATCTGCCTCCACTACTACCCCTGGCAGAGATTTGAAGTTTATGCAAAAAAAGTCAGGGCAATTGGTCTGAAGTTAATTCCCTGCAAGTAGGGTCATAGAGTAGGCATTAGATGCTTATTTGAACAGGAACATTGCACAGGAACGTCGGGGAAAGGCAGCAGACTAGCCCAAAGTTATAAGAGAAAGCCGGAGAGCTATGATGGGCCGAATGGCCTGTTTGTGTGCTGTAATAATTCTGTAGCCGGTGGAGACCATGGGTATAGGAAAGCGAGGCTGAACAATATGAGGTCATTTCACATTGTGATACATGTCACTTGTTGATCATAAATCACATTTGGATCCATTCTGAGGAATTGGCTTTATGCCAAGTCTATCGCTAATGCTCACCGACAATGAGTCAGCCATCAGGTGATATGTAAACTGACACAAGCGTCTAGTCTTACTCTGAAGGCTTCAAGAGAAACAAATTGGTTAAAAGCAGAATCCAATTGCTTTTCCAATTACAATGGTTCATCCAACTGAAACCTGAATGATTTTCAATTTGGACAACTTTAGACAAAGTCAGAGACTGATATGACAATGTGTGTCTCCCACACCATGCTACACCTTTACATACAGTCGGAAAATCCAGAGTATCAAAAGTTGCCTTTTGTTCACTCACGCTATGTGGGGGTCACTGGCTAAGCCAGTATTTATGGCCCGTCCTTAATTGCCCAGAGGGCAGTTCATAGCCAACCACATTGCTGTGGGTCTGGAGTCACATGTAGGCCAGACCAGGTAAGGATGGCAGATTTCCCTTCCCAAAGGGGCATTAGTGAACCGGATGGGGTTTTAACAACAGTTGACCGTGGTTTCATGGTCATCATTAGACACTTATTTCCAGATTTTTACTGAATTCAAATTTCACCATTGGTAAAGCAGGTGACCCTTCAGCCCATTTTGGGATCACGAATCCCATTCTCTTGCTCTTTCCACCAACCCTAGTGTTTCCTCTGCTTCATACATCTATCTGCCTTTATTTTCCTGATAAGGTCTTTGCCTCAACTGGACAATGAAGTGTTCTGTGTTTTCATTGGTGGGAGACAAATGGGTAGTGGTGATATGGTTAAGGAATCCAGCATTTGGGGTGGCTCAGTGACTAGCACTGCTGCCTCATAGCGCAAGGGACTGGGGTTCGATTCCACCCTCGGGCAACTGCCTGGGTGAAGTTTGCACGTTGCCTGTGTGTGTTTCCTCTGGGTCCACAGTCCAAAGATGTGCAGGTTAGGGTAGATTGGCCGTGCTAAATTACCCATAGTGTCCAGGGATGTGTAGCTTAGGTGGGTTATAGGGGGATGGGTCTGGGTGGAATGCTCTGAGGGGCAGTGTGGACTTGTTGGGCTGAAGGGCCTGTTTCCACACTGTAGGGATTCTATGGAAATGCAAGGTTGCAAGGATGGGGTGGGTCTGGGTGGTATGCCCTTCAGAGAGTTAGTGTGGACTCGATGGGCTGAATAGCCTTCTTCTACACTGTAGGGTTCTGACAATCACCATGCAACATTGGCAATGCTGGGGCATAAAAGACTGTGGGCCAGGACCGGGCATGGACTTGAAGGGCCAAAGGGCCTTTCTCTGCGCTGTAGATCTCTATGACTCAAATGTTCCAGGGGCTTGGGCTCAAATCCCATGAATGGCAAACAATGAAATTTGAGTTTAGTTTAAAAAATTGTAGGTTTAAAAACAAAATGGGCTTAATGGTGGCCATATAAGCAATATCAATTACCATAAAAACTCATCTAGTCTATTAATGTTCTTCAAGGAAGGAAATCTGCTGTCCTTCTCCAGTCTGGCCTACTTGTGAGACCTGACACGCAGCTTTGGGGTTAACCCTTAACTGCCCTCTGGGTATTAATTGCTGGCCACATCCCCTGATTGAGTAAAATAATACTGCTACCCACAGTGCTGTTAGCTCTGGACATTTACCCAAAGTTATCTTTCCAATTTTACAAGTTTCATCCCAATCTATCTCTCAAGCTCTCCGTTCTCCCTTTCTCTCTCATGGAGGCCTCAAGATTTTTCTATTTGCTCTCAGGATATGAATGTTTCACGTCTGTGAAAATGATCAGCGCCAGGGACCTGGGTTCGATTCCACCCTCGGTCGACTGCCTGTGTGGAGTTTGCATATTCTGCCCGTGTCTGCGTGAGTTTCCTCTGGGTGCTCCGGTTTCCTCCCACAGTCCAAAGATATGCAGGTTAGGGTGGATTGGCCGTGGGAAATGCAGGGTTACAGGGATAAGGTAGGGGAGGTGGGTTTGGGCGGGATGCTCTTTGGATGGTCAGTATGGACTTGATGGGACGAATAGCCTGCTTCCACACTGTAGGGATTCTATGTTTTTATGAATACCTATTAATATTATCCATTCTAATTCATTTCAATGTAGATTACTCCCAAAAGGAAATGGCTGATGATCGAAATGTTAACCTCCAATTAGAATTACTTCTTCAATAATTGCTCATTCTGATGGAGTTTTCCACAAGTAGCTTCATGAAGTAATTCTTAACCATCTTCACCTGTTGTGCTCATGACATTATCACTGGTTGCCCCAGCATTTACTGCCCATCCCTAGTTGCCCCCTTGAGAAGGTGGGGGTAAGCTGCCTTCTTGAACCACCGCAGTCCATGCGCTGTAGGTTGGCACACAATGCCCGCAGGGAGGGAATTCCGGGATTTGCACCCAGCGACACTGAAGGAACAGTGAGATTGTTTGGGGGAGGGTTGGGTTAGGATAGTGTAGGTGTGTTTTAATGATCACTCTGCCAGATCATGAAAAATTGGTCACAGAATCACAGCATTGTTAAGGTGTAGAGAGGGGCCACTGAACCTATCATGGCTGTACCAGCACTTCAAAGGAGAGTTAGTGCCATCCTCCTATTTTCTTCCCCCGCTATCCCTGCACCCTATTTCCATCCAAATAACCAACCAATACCCTTCTTGACTGAACCTGCCTCCACCGCATTTCCAGGCAGTGCATTCCACACCCTAATTAGGCACTGGGGGAAATTTCCTTCCTCTTACCTCTCAGTTACTTCTTTTGCAAATATACTTTAAATCTCATCCTTCTTCCTTTTCCGGCCAGGATTCAGGATGGATTTCCAGTCTGTCAGTCCCAGATTAGGCAAGCATTAGTTCCCAGTCTGAGGAGATATTTTGATGACTCGGTTCCATTTTCAAGAGGCCTGGATGTTTCTGAGTTTACATTGACAGGCCCAAACAGAGCCTGACATTCTATTGATGTGGTTTTGGGGCGGTGTACTCTATCCAAGCGAAGGACACTTCAGAATTTGGAATGAAACCAGAGGCACTGGGGAATAAATCTGACCATCCTTTCAAAGGGTCCTTTCATTTCAGTGACACCTGGGCAATCTGATTCCGAACATCTACTGTGTGCCTCAAAACCTGAAATTTCAAAGCTGATGAGGAAGGTTCAAATCAATGGTTTACCCACGTTGCGAAGCACCTGAAGCAAATGGATCATTTACCCTTTTGGGGCTTAGACTTCTTTAAGAGCAAGACACCAGTTCCTGAGATCCGCTATCTTGAATGTCAATGCCAATTTACTCAGCAGGAGCTGGGTGTGTCATAGAGACATACAGCGTAGAACAGACCCTTCAGTGCAACTAGTCTGCGCTGAACATAATCCCAAACTAAACTAGTCCCACCTGCCTGCTCCTGGCCCATATCCCTTCAAACCTTTCCCATTCATGTACTTATCCAAATGTCTTTCAAACTAACTGTACCCACATCTACAACTTCCTCTGGAAGTTCATTCCAAATGCAAATCACCCGCTGTGTAAAAAAAATTGCCCCTCATGCCTTTTTTTAACCTCTCTCTTCATCTCACCTTAAAAATATGCCCCCTAGTCTTGAAATCCCCCACCCTAGGGAAAAATGCCCCACCTACCGTTAACTCTATCTATACCCCTCATGATTTTATAAACTTCCAACAGGTCGCCTCTCAACCTCTTACGCTCCAGTGAAAAAAGTCCCAGCCTTTCTTTATGACTCCAACCTTCCATACCCGGCAACATCCTGGTAAATCTCTTCTGAACCCTCTCCAGCTCGATAATATCCTTTGTCGGGATTGCTGGCTCTTTACCGTTTGAGAATCAGCGGGATGGTCGATGAGTGGTTTATAGGAGCTGGTAGTCTTGTACCTGCTGACTCACGCCACCTTCACCCACTCCAATGCCCCCCTCTCTCTGTCACCCCATCATGACCTGTACACCCTTGCCCTGCGTTGTGGCCTGAGGCATTGTCAACACTGAGCCAGATCTCCGAGGACAGCGCGCACACACACAGTGTGAAAATGTTCTGCTGTCTCCTTAAATCAGAAAATAATCTACAGGAAACGAAAGAAGAGATAGCAGAATTTGTACAAGTTAATTTAGTCTTCATTGTCAAAAATGGTTGCAATGTCCTTTTTTTTCTCTCAGTGTCTCATTGTGTGTGTGTGTATATATATATATATATATATATATATATATAAAAGTCTCATGGTATTTTAGTTAGGATGATCCAGAATTGGTCCTCATTCAAATCCACAGAAAAGGAAATACAATAAAAGTTAACAAACAGTGTCTCACACACACACACACAGCAGTCGTGAATTCCAGTATGTGCCTTGATTGCCAAGAGGCAAGGAAACCTATTGAAGTTCTCCTCTTCTGTACAATGCCTTGATGCTTTCTCTTCTCTTCAGTGGGCATGGATGTCCATGGCTTGCCCACTGAGGATGGGGTCCCCGGGATTCAGGATGGATGGGCTCGGCGATGACATTGCAGGGTGAGGGGGGGGCCCACTGTGCATCATCATGGCTGGCTGGTGGGAGTGTCTGGGGACGTAGGAGTGCACCGAGGCTCCATGTCGCAGCTGTGTGGGGTGGGGTGCCATCGGTGGAGGGGTGTACCCTGCCTGCTGGAGGCCCAGTCCCATCGCGCCTCCCTGTGGCACATAGTCCCCCGGCACTGCCGCCAAACCTGTTGGGAGTGGGGGTTGGGGGGTGGGGGGAGAAGCAAGACAGAAATGTCAGCGCCCGGTTCGCCAACCAGCTCCGATCCAACCAACAAACCCCCCGCCCCCATCTCCCCTCCCCCCGGGAGCTTACTCCACTCTCCTCCCCACCCAGCACAGCTCCCCCGCGCCCCCACCCCCCTCCACCCCACCTCCCCCACCATTCAAGGCTGGGAACAGGTCGTGTAGCCCTCCCAAGATGACGAGGTGGGGTGGGGGGGCATGAGGTTGCCAGGGTAGATCTTGTAGGAGCAGGAGGGTGGGGCACACAGAGAATGGGAGAATGTCTAGAGAGAAATGGGGGTTGGGGAGGTAAGGGGGTGGGGCGGTGGGGGAGGGGGAGCAGGGCTGTAAAGGGGGCGGGGTGAGGCTTATAGGAGTCTATCCTCGGGTCCTGGTGGGAACAAAGTTTCTTCGGACCCACAAAACAATGGGAGGCTGCATCAGCTTGGACTCAACACTAACTCCCCCACCCCAATAACCTGCTTCCCCCGCCACGGTGCTCCCTACCAAACCCACCATCCTCACCACTCTACTTCACATCCCACCCCGTTCCCCCTGCAATGTCGAGGGGCTGACATGCGCGGGCATAGTCTGTGTGTAGGAGTGGGCATGGAGATGGTTGATTGGTGCCCCACCTCTTTCACTCAACCAAGGCCCAGTGGTTGGGCTCAGACCTCAGCTGGGCAGGACCAGCTCTTGGGTTCACATTGATGATATTATGAAATGATACCCTCCTAGTTTGCTGTTTGGTCTCTCACTCCTGTGACTGGTTTGTCCTTTGCCCCCTCTGCTGCCTCCAGTTTGGCAATTGCACTCTCTCATTGGGCCATAAGAAATAGGAACAAGGCCATTCAGCCCCCTCGAGCCTGCTCCACCATTCAGTAGGACCATGGCTGATCCAACATTCCTCACATCCACTTTCCTGCCCTTTCCCTGTAACCCTCGATTCCCCAATGACTCGAGAATCAATCTTAGCCCGAAATATACACAAGGACTCTTCCCCCACAGCTCTCTGTGGCAAGGAGTTCCAAAGGCTCACAGCCCTCTGAGAGAAGAAATTCCTCCTCATCCCAGTCTTAAATTGGTACCCCTTTATTCCGAGACTGTCCCCTCGACTCTCCCATGAGGGGAAACATCCTCACAGCATTGACCCTGTCAGGCCCCTTAAGAATCCAATATGTTTCAATGAGATCACCTCTCATTCTTCTAAACTCCAGGGAGTAGAGACCCAAACTGTTTAGCCTTCGCTCATAAGACAGTCCCTCCCATACCAGGGATCACCTTAGTGAACCTTCTCTGACCTGCCTCCAATGAAATAATGTCTTTTCTTAAAGCTTCTCACAGTGCTCCAGAAGTGGTCTCACCAGCACCTTGTACAGCTGTAGTAAGACTTCCCTACTCTTATCCTGCCACCCCGCTGAAATTATTGGCAAACATTCTGCATGTAGTTGGTTGTTTGCATGTTCTGCTGCCCCCACCTCATCATTTGCCCTCCCATTCGATCCGTCTGACTGTGATTTACCCAAGACTGATGTGTTCACTCACTCACTGTACCCTACACCCACTCTCCTCACTCAAACAGCGTCGCCTAAACCCTCCTTTATCGCAAGCCCATCCTTCTAAAGTGAGCATCCCCCTTATAAATTCTCATCTTTCCACAGGGACTGAGTGTGCTTTTACAACCATTAAACATTCCTCTGCATCAGGCAGTATCAGTCTCAAACTAATCCTACTGCCCTGCACTCTCTCCCATAGACCTCTATCAATCCCCAAACTAA